GAATATTCCTCGTTCAAATATTAGTCTTTTCAAATTCTATTTAATTATTATTACGTAATCTACCTTATTATTATTCAATTCCATTAATCTCTCTAATTATCACAATTTATGAACTTCACTAAACTATTACACCACCCAACCTGAATTAACCCCCTTTTTGACCTCTGACCCGTTTCTAGCATATATATATATAGTTATCACTGTAATCCAGTTATTTACACTCATTTATGTCAATTGTTCCACACTATCACCATGTAAAAAATTCTATCACAATTTTGGTTTGTAAGCACCTGACGAGAAACCTCGGAATAATATGAATTCATACTATTCTGCATCAATGTTTGTTCTTGCTCTATTGAAATTCATAAAGGGAACCAATTGCATGAAATAATTTTATAACTTGTGGCCTTGTGTCTTCTTAATATATAACGTAATGCTACCGCCTATTAGAGAACAGTGATTTATCGACCGGACCATTGACGCATAAACCCGTACGATTAGTCTAGAGTCCTTATCGGTCCTTCTTTCTGTCTAGCCCTATGTATTGAGTTGCCAAAGACATAGAGTTTATCGTTTGTGTGTGGGCTGTGATACTGCCCGGGTGCCCAAACCGAAGCAGGTGGTTTTCTTATGGGGCCACTCCCCGAGCCTTTGACCTAAAGGTCTAACCCACAAGGCAGTGGAGCATCGTAAGGAGATGCAATCCCATGGTAGCCGGTGACCAAAAGATTGGTTCATACGCCATTTGTTCCCGCAGGATACTGGAGCCCATGTGCACCATTGATTTGGAATCCGGTTAAAGCGCCGGACATTCGCTTTTCGTCCTCTCATTTTCGTAAACAACACCCCCGCCACGAGAAGGCAATGAGTAGGACTTCCCTGGCAGAGGCTGTATACGCGTGGCCGTGTGAGAGTATTTCGAGAGGGAGAGCGGACTCTCCCCACTCTCGGCCGTATCAGGGCATTCGGGGGCAGCCCTATGTATTGAGTCTAGAACACCAATCTTAGTCTCTGATATATGAATCATGTATTTCAAACACACCAGCTTTATATACAAACCAAACAGACCACATCGTACCACAAAATGAAACGTAACATTTGTACAAGATCTAGCCCAAAGGGGCTGTGAATGTGGGAGACTGTAATTAATAGACTTGGTGTAACTTAAGAATGGTAAATCGCATCCTAATAGTCGATGGGTCAAAATAAAGCTTACAATAATAAAAACATGAATATGCATAGTTTAGCCATATAGCAATTATATAATAAAAACACATGTATTGTACTATTCCATAAATAGTTCTCAAAAGTTATCATTCATAATTCTCGTTGTGATATAACAAATAATCATATTGATCACAAGTATTTACCTTCCCACCATTCTGTCAAATAAATCATCTTACTCAGCTGGATTTTTATAGTATATTGATCAAAAAACAATACTATTTACTCATAGTTATCGTGACCATCAAAAGTTGTTTACATCAGGCAAAACTATTTCATGATACATGCAGACAGAGAATTAAACACAAATTTTTATTAGTAAATGGTTAGGAATATTGAAATTTTTTTTAGCAAGGCATCTACCGAGCTTCTACTACTTGAAATAGCCACACTGCTGGGACATATAAAAACGCTCTGGTACGGCCGAGAGTGGGGAGTGTCCGCTCTCCCTCTCGAGATGCTCTCACATGTCCACGCGTATATAGTTTCTGCCAGAGAAGTCCTACTCAATGCCTTCTCGCGCCACCGGTGTTGTTTACCAAATTGAAAGGAAAAAATGAATATTTCGAGCTTTAGCCGGGTCAGTAGGCACGGTGAGTCTACCTAGCAGAGTTATAAAACCCTGATTTCAAGCAAATGATGCACATGAGCTCCAGTATCCTGAAGCAACAAATGGCGTATGAACCGATCGTTGGTCACCGGCTACCATGAGACTGCATCTCCTTACAATGCTCCACTGCCTTGTGAACTAGACCTTCAGGTTGAAGGCTCCGGGTGTGGCCCCCTAAGAAAACCACATGTTTCGGTTTGGGAAGCCGAGCAATGTGCCAGCCCTCACACAAATGAAATGAGATTTGTGTGGCGCATATCTATTTGGTACCTCTTTTTACCAATATCTATGTGTTCAAATAAATAAGCAAATTGTGAAGAAAAACAGCTGAACATGAATGCAGTTCCAAAGATAATCAATCTTTCACGATCGGTTTTGTATTAACCATAAACCGTATAACAAAGTCTCAAAATGAATTCATTATCGAGATTACTTTACAACGAAATATAACAGCGGAAACACTGGTTGCCGAGAGCCAAGGAGTTGGTTTAAATCAGTTTAAAAATGACCAAATAATTTGAACTGAAACAGCCCGACTCCGTGTAGATCGGTTCTAATGTTTTTTTTAATTATTTCATAACTTAAAAGGTCATAAAATCTATCGTCAAGGAATCTAATTGTGGATGACTAATTGAAATTTTAAAAGCGAAGGCTATTCATATCCATATAGTATGGAGAACTTTTGTCTGGAATTGATTTCAAAAACCATAGGATTGCAAAACATCACGTAAAGGCAGTCTGATAAAAGGAAATATAGAAAAGAAATATTAGAATTGTTTATTCATTCGGTTTCACTTTTACCGTATATTTGAATACCAATTAAATAAGTAAACAAGTACAAAGGGCATTGTTCCATAAGAGAGTATGAAACTTCATTTACTTTTAGAACAACGTTAACAGATACTGGGACGATCTCTTGGTTCACAGCATTATTTAAAGCTTCATCAAACAAATAGTGGGACCGAGTCCCATAGACATGTAGGAGAAAATGGCTGTGAAATACAATACTGATAAATAAGAAAAAAACTTTGGATTATTACAGCTCCTCTTTAGAAACGAATATATATATCTATTAAAAACTGCTGAAGTTTTGTACTCTCAGTAAAAAACGTTCATATAACTTTCGTAATTTTAGACGAAATCATGTGTTTGCATAAGCAACTGCTTTGAAGGCAAAGATAACAAGTCTAAACACACACAACTGAATCATTATCGCTCACCATTCATCAGGCTTTTACCAAGACACATCGACAGTTTATCAATTTATTCTATTTGCATTTTTTCAAACACAAGACTAAATATTAGCATCAATAATTAACAAGAGAAAAAACGGGCGCTAAATGGGCTTTTTTCATTATATGAACCAAAAGTCGTTTATAAGCAAACATCTCTATAATTTTTAGTAGTAAAATATATCAAGATCAGAATTTATGTACATAGATAATTCATAAGTAGCAAATCTACTTCGGCTAGTAAACTTTTTACCAATAGTCTAAATAGTAAATTACATTCTCAAACAGCCAGCAGTCAATCAGAGAGATATGATCAGGCCAACTCAAAAGACAAAGAATTGTGGCATGCAAAAATGTTGAAAAATATAAACCACTGTAATTACATAAAATAATTTTAGTCACCGTAGGGTACCAAGAGGTATATCTCATATGAAGAAATAAGAGTATCGGTAAAAAGTATTCGACGGTAATCAATAAAGAAGTTTAGACAAAACATCGTGTAATTAACTATAAAATTTCATGAAGAACACAACAAAGACAGATTTCATTCCATATGAATAAATATTTAAACCGTAAACGAGGATTCTAGTAGATTTTATATCGATTCATATTTGATACCCGATAGACACTTGCTACGATATCCAAGATCTGATTCCGAAAGTCGTTATAAGCCGACACATAGTACTTAAACAGATTATCGTCTATGTTTCTACCTCAAAGTCTGAATTCACAGACTCTTTATTTTCCACATACATTTCGAGAGTAAACAAACAACGAGCAGTGTAAGAAACTAATCGTTCAACATTGGCGAAAGTATCACCGTAACTGAAGACCAAAAATCCCACAATTTTCCCTGGTCTGAAGACTCCCTTTAGCTTTAACTCATTTTACGGAGACTCCCAAGACATTGAAGAGATTCAGGGGGCTCTTCTTAGTATTTCGCCGAAATCCCCTCGGACTTTGGAGAAAATGAATCAACCATGGTGAGAAATCCCACAATTTTTGGAGTATTTATGGGAAAATCCTAAAGTCCTTACTGTATCAAACGTCTCTTCCACCATTTACAATTAAAACCAAGTCCTTACGATACATTTGGACTGATGAAAAACCAGACACCTATATTTTTGGCTCGTGGATGTTGTTCTTTAAAAATAATATGTATGAAACGAAAAAACCTTTACCGACTTTGAAAACCTCTAAAATATACCCAAGCTTGAGAAACAGGGTCATTAGGATAACGTACGCGAAGCGTGACTATGGCAACAAAAACGATTTTGTATGGTGACGAAACTAGTGAACGTTGATTTTCACCGCACTAAACCCTTTTATTAAACCCGAGTATTACTTTCAAGGTATATAAACCGTATCTAAATAAAGAGGAAACTGCAGAACAATATCAACCAACATATGCCAAATTTCCTGAAAATAAATAGTTCTCGAAAAAAAATTTATACATACATATGTACCCAACCATTTACTGAATAGCCGGGAAAACAACAACTTTAGAGTTGACTGCTATGCATGAAACACACTACTCGTGTACTAGACTCATCTGATACAACACCGCTGGCAGTCACATAGCTACTACATTTTAGATGTACCACGAAATAAAAATGCATTCTTTAAGGTGAGAACGGAAAGAAATTAGCTTTTCGTGAATGTACAGGAGCTATATTTGTTAGTACTGATGACGTACAGATGATAAACAGATTTGTTTACACATAAACCACATATGAATAAAAAATAAGTTCAGTCAACTCAAAATACTTACACTTTCAACATAATTGGCCGATAACTTTAAAAACGAAATAAAACCAAGAATGTTTAAAGGTACGGAGTTTCAATTTTATTTATTAGTATATTTAAATGTATACGTATGCATTTTTAGAATGTGTGTATTATAATGCATGAAATAAAATGTATGTAAATCTTACTTTTTTCTGAGGATTCCTCATCTTGTATAATTTTGCAGTCAGTAGCGTTTTTAGAAAATAAAGCCCACATCCCATACAGAACAAACCAAAATAACCAAAAGTGTATGGCCGAGTGAAAACTGACTAGGATATTAAACAAAGCGCAAAATAGAGGATGAGGAACGTTGAAGTAACTATTCAAAACTACTGAAAACGCTTACATCTAATTATTTGATTGTTAGGGTAAATCGTATATAGTTTTCTGCACACCAGTATAATTTACTGGCAATATTGGCTTGAGAATGCAAAACTATAAAATAAATATTTTGGGTATTGTTGTACCATCAATAGCATGTGATTAATGAGAAAATCTAAAAAAAAGTAGTTAAATTTTTAGTCTAGGAGTAAATAAAAGGGCGAAATAGGTATTTATGTAAGTCTTTGATAATGAAGCTGACGTCATTTGTTTTACTAGACACACTTGCTCCAGGGCATAGTCACGCACCCGCACCGGATCACGGCTTGGCATTCCTTGCTTCAAATATCTCTCAGGCGCTAGTCAGCTTAGATCACGCGCTTACTGAAATAGGAACTACTTACTATTTGCATCTTCAAGTTCCTTCATTTCTAGCCTCTGGTTTGACTCTATACGGGATCCTCGATTGTAATGCTGTTATGAACGACAGCGTTGACAAACCATGAATATCCGCCATATCTTCAATGACGATTTTTGTTTTCGTTCTCCTTATGCATTTTTTAAATACAGTCTAGGTCCGTTCACGACTGTCACTAAACGTAATGCTTCACCTAAATGGATGTGAAGATTTTGGACTGTATTGTGAAACGAGTCACCATATCAGGTCGTGTAGTCAAATCCTGAAGGGTTTAAGTTACTTATAATGCATTTGATTTCTATGTGGCTTGTGATATTAATTACACGACTGATCATCCTGAACAAAGCTTAAAAACAATCTGAGAACAAACCTGCAAATATCACATTCGAACCGATAGTCCAGTACTCTCGGTATATCACTGGAATAATTGTTTACCTACTAGTACTTTTCATAATGTTTGTCTTATCTGTAAGGCGGACTACCCGTAATTAGTGTATTAGCTGGTATGTCATCTTTTTATCAAGCATAATTCGCTTACATGATTGCCAATAATTAAATGCACTAAATAAACGTGCACTGATTACTGTGAATAATAAACTTTCCATAGATTAAGAATTGTAAATCTTACAGCATTCTCAATGGGTTACGTGTCAGCTAACAATAATAGAAATATGATTATAATAAGTTGGAACCTAATAAATATTGTCCCCACCCGAGCCCCCTGAATGCCCTGGTACGGCCGAGAGTGGGGAGAGTCCGCTCTCCCTCTCGAAATACTCTCACACGGCCACGCGTATACAGCCTCTGCCAGGGAAGTCCTACTCATTGCCTTCTCGTGGCGGGGGTGTTGTCTACGAAAATGAGAGGACGAAAAGCGAATGTCCGGCGCTTTAACCGGATTCCAAATCAATGGTGCACATGGGCTCCAGTATCCTGCGGGAACAAATGGCGTATGAACCAATCTTTTGGTCACCGGCTACCATGGGACTGCATCTCCTTGCGATGCTCCACTGCCTTGTGGGTTAGACCTTTAGGTCAAAGGCTCGGGGAGTGGCCCCATAAGAAAACCACCTGCTTCGGTTTGGGCACCCGGGCAGTATCACAGCCCACACACAAATTGATGAACTCTTTATGCCTATGGAAATTACCTTTCTCGCTTTGAAAAACAAACAATTGATTCAGATTATTATCATTACAATTATTGTCATTATTAATACTAATATTATTATTACTACTATTATTGTCATTATTGTTATTATTATCATTATTATTATTATTTTCCACATTATTCACCCTCTTTTATACCTATACAGCAGCTCGTCTTTGGTGGAAATCCGACTGTATCTAAACGTTCTCGAGTCACTGTCCGGTTGAAAATTGTATGTTACCACCGAATACGAGGACTGAAGCAGATTTTCTGAAACCACGTGCACCATTCAAACTGGCTGCCTTCAACGTTCGCACATTTATGCAGGTCGGACAACAGATAGGGCTGGCTATGTCTTTGGAAAGTCTTAATATCGGATGCAATCAAGGATGAGTTTTACCACCAGTTATCTGTTCTTCTCCAGAAAGTGCGTTCGACAGATATTGTAGTACTAGCCGGAGACTTTAATGCTCAGGTCGGGCGTCTAGGCACAGAAGAGAGTCGTTTAGGTGGCCGATGGGGACTCGTTGGTCGCAGGTCAGATAACGGGGACCGTCTACTGCAACTGTGCAGAGACCACAACCTGTTTCTGGCTAGCACTAACTTTCGGCACAGTCGTCGCCGATGTGCCACCTGGCATCCTCCCTCTGCATCTCAAGCCTGGACTCAGATTGATCACATCGCGATCAGCTACCGCTGGCGTGGTTGTGTACAAGACTGCCGCTCCTTTTGGAGTACCTATCTGGACTCTGACCATGCCTTGGTCTGCGCCAATCTCGCCTTACTTTTCAGTGGACAACGAAGTGACCACCATCAACGGATTGATATTAGCAAGCTGGTTGCAACTTCTGTTGCAAGTAAGTATCGAACCGAGCTAGCCTCTAGGCTAGCTACCACTCCACCGAAAAGTATAGATGAGCATTGGTTGCAGTTGCGTGACGCCATGAAAATGGCGGGAACAGTCAGTTGTGTGTTTGCGAAACGTCCCGCTTTTAAGCACTGGGTTTCTTCTGGTTCCTTACAACTCATTGAAGCCCGTCGGTCTACTCCGGGTGACCGTGAGTTTGACCATAAACGAAGGATGTTACGTAAGGAAATTGGGCAAAGCTTGCGTAAGGACCGAGAAGCCTGGTGGTCGATGCGTGCTAATGAGCTGGAAGCAGCAGCTGCATCTGTTAGTTACCGGAAGCTCTTCCAGCTCATCCGAGCCACTGGCAGCAAGAAGTCTGGTGTGAGTGAAACAATCTGCGAGGATGATGGGATGCCAATCACTAACATCCATCTACGTCTTGGACGATGGGCAGAATTTTTCGAAGGGCAGTTCAACTGGTCTGCTGCTCCGGCAACATCGGTCAGACTGTCCTGCCCTCCATGGCCGGTGACGACTGATCCACCAAATGAGGAGGAAGTCCGCAAGGAATTCCAACTCTTGAAGCGTTACAAATCACCTGGCCCAGATGACTTACCTCCGGCTCTTTTTAAAGATGGTGGTGACTTACTGACTAAGGAATTGACGACGTTTTTTACAAAGGTCTGGGAGCTAGAGAGTGTACCAACGTTATGGAATGAGTCGATAGTTGTCCCTATCTTTAAAAAGGGTTCACGTCGTTCTTGTAACAAATATCGGGGGATAAGTTTACTTCCGATTGCGTCCAAGCTATTGGCTTCCGTCATTCTTCGTAGGTTGTTCAAAACCCGAGAAAGATTGACTCGCGAGGAGCAGGCTGGGTTTCGTTCTGGTCTAGGATATATTGATCATATCTTCACCCTCCGCCAAATGTTAGAACACCGCCATACTTTTCAAAGGCCAACAATCGTAGTGTTTCTTGACATCAGGGCTGCCTTCGATTCGTTGGATAGGACTGTTCTCTGGGATTGTCTATTGAAGAAGGGTGTTCCTGAGAAGTTTATTAACATCCTAAAAGCCCTATATACAAACACCTCAGGCAGAGTGAGGGCATACAATCACCTCTCTCCATTGTTCTATTCGAGCAGTGGGGTTAGACAGGGTTGCCCAATCTCACCATTCCTCTTCAACTTTGCCATCGATGACATTCTGGAAACAGCTCTGATGAATGTAAGTAATGGTGGTGTGGATCTGTTGCCTGGAGAAAGACTTCTCGACCTTGAGTATGCGGACGATATTGTCTTACTGTGCGATAATGCCCAAGGCATGCAATCCGCACTTAATCAGTTGGCAATCAGTGTCCGTAGGTATGGTATGTGCTTTGCACCTTCGAAGTGCAAAGTACTTCTACATGACTGGCAGGATTCTAATCCTGTACTCACCCTGGACGGTGAGCGGATAGACGTAGTTGAGAAGTTCGTGTATCTGGGTAGCTGCATAAGTGCTGGTGGGGGTGTGAGTGATGAGATCAATGCACGTATAGTGAAAGCCAGAGCGGCTTATGCCAATCTGGGTCACCTTTGGCGCCTTCGTGATGTTAGTCTGGCTGTAAAAGGCCGGATCTACAACGCGTCGGTGAGAGCAGTTTTGCTCTATGCTTGTGAGACCTGGCCTCTCCGAGTTGAGGACGTTAGACGACTCTCTGTGTTCGATCATCGCTGTCTCCGAAGGATTGCTGACATTCAGTGGCAACACCATGTCAGTAATGCAGAGGTTCGGCATCGTGTGTTCGGGCACAGAGATGATAACTCAATTGGTGTTACCATCTTGAAACACCGACTTCGGTGGCTTGGACATGTTCTCCGAATGTCGTCCCAGAGAATTCCACGTCGTGCATTATTTGCCGACGCTGGGACTGGTTGGAAGAAGCGGAGAGGTGGTCAGTGCATGACATGGTGTCGTGGCATGAAAGAAAGCTGCAAAGGACTGGCTTGTGTTGGTCCTTCACGACTCCCTGGCTGGGGTCCGAGAGATGGTGCTACACAGTGGCTAGAGACGTTATCAGATATGGCTCAGAATAGAAGCCAGTGGCGATCCTGCTGTAACCTTCTTTTACTTTCTTCATAAAAAGTGGTTGTGTCTTCCCTAACTGAAAGATTTCTTCTGATTGTACCTTTTCGTTCCGTCGTTACTACCACACTACCTTACTCCAATCTCTTCGTCATTGTTCTCTTTTTCTATTGCGTTCCTTAGTTTTTTTCTCTTTCTACTTCTCTTCGAATTCCCATTGTTTTGTGTGGCGCATATATATTGGCGCTCTCTTGTACCAATATTTATGTGTTCAAATAAATAAATAAATAAATAAATAAATATGCAATAAGAATCCACGTAATAACAGTCTATAAATTAGTCGTGGAAGTTAAACTTCCTTCAATCTTCGTTCATGTAAGTCCAGTGAAATTTCATTGGGCCTTAGCCAAATC